GAGGGACTGCAAATAAAACATCTATAGAAGCACCACATCATAAAACGAAAAATTGCTTTATGGGTTGAACAATAAATATTCATGTAGATTAAAATATAGACATTTATTTAATTTAATTCGAAAACTAAATTAAGAAATATAGAAGATAAATCAGAATTATTACGGGTCTGCGATCCATATAATGTAAATGATATTTTCATAATACTCTGATGTTCGATGAGAGTATCGTTAACCTAAAGAATGAAGTAGGATTGTAGAAGAAGAAGGATGGGACACATGTGATATGAAGGAGAAATTCATACTCTTTAACATAAAAAAATTGAAATAGAGGACGAGGGTATTTGCGAAGAAGATGAAGAATTAGCCGGATTGGGAACAAAGATGAAAAATGGGGGAAGAAGGGGTTTCCGGAGAAGTTGTTACGTTGGAATCAATTGATGGATTAGGTGGAGAAAAATTAGGAACGTACGTGAATGGAAAGAAGCAAGAATGACCTTACAGACCCTCATCGAGAATATTTAAAAAGTAAATAAAAAATCAGATCTAATGGCTGTCATTTATTCTCATTTCTCTCCGGTACGTATTATATATTAATATACATATTATATCATATATACTACTCTGTAATACTACGTATATATTATATATTAATTTATATTGTATATTAATATATAATATATATTAATATAAATATACACATATAAAACTACGCTCGCGAGCCTAAAATTAGCAGGCTCATTTATGGCTTGAATACTTAATGAGCCGGCTCAAGCTCGGCTCGAGCTGGAGTTTGACCGAACCCGATTCGATCTTTGACAGAGCGGCTCAGCTCATTTGCACCCATACTCTCAAGTACGAGGTTACAAGTTCGAAACTCATCAACATATACTCTAATATGTGAGAAAGTACAAGAAAAAAATTGTCATTTTTCCATTTTTTGGATGTTCCAATGAACTTTTTCACTTTCCATTTTAATCAATAAATTTATGTTTTTTTTATTATTTCTCTCTCCTTCACACAAATCTCAACCATTTTTTAATATAAAATAACAAACACTCAACAACAACAACATCCAGGCCTTAGTCCCAAACGATATTGGGGTCGGCTAACATGAATCGATACATGATATCACCAAAAGGAAAAGAAAGAAAATAAAGATAAAAAGATAAGCTATTATTAAAAAAAGATAATATAAAAGAGATGAATATACATATAAAATATAAAATAAAAAGGATAAAGTAATATTTATATATAAGGATAAAAATATATAATAAAGAAAGGGGAAAAGATGATACAAGATCACTCCTCCACACGAATAATCGTCCTCCATTTTGCTTTCTCCAAAGTCATATCCTCATCCAATCCAAGAAGAAGCATATCACTTCTGACTCCCCTAACCCACGTCTGTTTGGGCCTTCCCTTCCCTCTCTTCCCTGCCTCTTCTCCACACATCTCAACTCCACGTCTGTATGCTTCTATGGTCTCATCACTCCGACTTGTCCCCATCTTTTTGTAGCAACCACTTTTGTTCCTTATAGCTTGTTTCACCTCATCATTCCACCAAAACGTGTCTTTTTTGGGTGGCAGACATCCTTTAGATTCTCCAAATACCTCCTTTTCCACTTTGTTGATGGTCAGCTCCATTGATAACCACACATCCTCCACATGTGTCCCATTATCAATACGCCATACATCTTCACCGAATATTTTGTGTGTAAAGCTTTGTTGAAGATCCCCCTCAATCCTCCACCACTTTATCTTTGGCTCCACTTGTTGCTTAACTTGTCTTCTATGGTTCTTACCTCGAAAGTCAAGCACAAGCATCCTATGCTGAGTGACAACACTCTCACCTGGGATAACCTTACAATCGGTGCAGCTAGTTCTCCAAGTAGTCCGTACTAAGAAGTAGTCAATTTGGGTACTATTAGCTCCACTTCTATAGGTTACAAGGTGAGAGTCTCTTTTCCTAAACCAATTGTTCATTATAGCCAACTCATACGTCGAGGCAAAATCCAAAATGTTCTTTCCCGCTTCATTTCTAGTGCCAAAACCATGTCCGCCATGAATACTCTCAAAGCCATCACAACTCGAGCCCACATGCCCGTTGAGGTCGCCTCCTATGACCAACTTCTCTCCCCTTGGCACTCGTCGCACCACATCTTCAAGATCTTCCCAGAACTGTTGAGTTGTAGATGCATCCAATCCCACTTGTGGTGCATAGGCACTTACCACAGACACAATCTCACCCCTTATCACCGATTTAATGCTCATGATGCGATCGTTCTTCCTGAAGACTTCTACCACATCCTCAACATAGTCACGCGCCACAATAATGCCTACCCCATTCCTGGTCTTATCTCTCCCCAAATACCACAACTTAAAACCCCCGGGATTGATCTCACGTGCTTTCTTTCCAACCCATTTAGTTTCTTTCACACACATAATTCTGATATTCCTCCTCCTCATAACTTCGACTACCTCGGAAGATCTGCCTGTAAGAGACCCAACATTCCACATCTCAAAGCGCAATCTAGCACTCCACCTTCTGTTCTTAGCCCCGCCTCGGACCCCACCATGCCCTTGCATATTTGACATCATCCTCGGGCAATGGGATGATGCGCCGCTTCCGGGTGACGACCTAGCAACCTTAGCATTCTTATCACCACACCCAGGCCTATGTAGTGTAGCGCGCCCTTGCATATTTGACACCACCCCCAGGCAGAGGGATGACACGTCGCTTACGGGCGACGACCTAGCTGTAGCGATATTCATATTTCGATTCATGTCATGTGATGTGACTAGGTGATACTGTTGGCCGTCACGCGCCTACCACAGCACCCTCCTCCTTTATCCTGGATTGGGACAAGCATAAAACCCAAAAAATTAATGTCATGGCGGAGTTATAAAATAACAAACACTAAAATGACTAATTCATGAATATATGAATAGTAAATGTACTTACACATTACATTAATGAAAAATGTATTGAAAACCTTTATCTATCATGATTACTTCGATAAGTTTCTTTTTTATTTGCCGCAAAATTTTGCCACTTTTCATTTAAAGTGATGATTTGTGATTCAACTTATTTATATCATATATGCATAAAAATCAACCGCACATGTTTATTTTTCTTTTTTCACTTCTAACTCAAAGCTGATGCCTGATAATGTCCAAGGAGGCGGCGGAAATAATACTTCGTATATTTTAAGAGCATCTCCAATGCTACAATGTATACGGTGCACATGTGGCATGAGAGAGATAGACACAAAAATTTAAATTTATGACATTTCTCTCTCATTCTTTCCACGGTTTTATCTGTTTTTGGTAAGTTTTGCTCTGCAATGTCAAGCACAATGTCTACATCTAGACATTGTGCTTGACATTGTGAAGAAAAACTTACCAAAGTGATACAAGATCCTTCAAATAAGGAGAGAGATATTCTATTCATTATTTTTTAATTGGTTGTCTCTCATGCCACGTATGCACCGTTCACGTTTTAGCATTGGAGATGCTCTAAGAGTACAAGACGGTGTACAATTTTTTACTATTCGTGAAATATTTTAATTTAACTGGAAACGCTTCTCTTTTCTAAACTTTCACTCTCTTCAACTATGATTGTTCACGTTAATAAATTGTTGGTAATTGTTGCAAGTTGCCAACCATATTCTGTCTTTTGGATCTTTTGTGTTCATAAGATGATAAGTTAAAAAATCGCATGTTATATTTTATTTAAACGTGTAACAGTATTGAGGTAGAATGATATATCGTAAAATGATATACCTTGTCTAGATTTTATATATCATAAAATGATATAAAAAAGTTCGGTTTTTATTTACAAATGTTTCATATTGAAACCACCCTCGTACCCTTGAACTGGTACCGGTCCAGGCTAGTTGGCCGGTTCTTGATTCGAAGTAATACTCAACCGATTCTGGAATTGAGTGTATGCGTACTTGTGACGAGTAAAAGACGAATGAACAAAAATTAAATATTTGGGAGGAAGAAGAGAAAATACAGAACGGATGTAGATAATTATGAGTTAAAAGTCTACGAGAATCAATTGTTCTACAGTCCAATAAGAATGAATGAAAATTTGAATAAACTATACTTTTGTAGTTTTTTAAAGTCCATATTCAATACACTTAGACTCTTAGACTTTTAGAATTCAAAAGCTTTTAAATTTTGATACAAATTCCATATAAGACACATCTCAATACTTGTTTAAGAAATGAAACTCTTTCATGTTGATTTTGCTATTATCTCCCTAGAAATGAGGTGCATAACTTGTAAATGAAACGAGGATAGAATTGTTATTTCATAATCAAATATGTTAAAAAAATGAAAAGTGAGAACCTGATTGAGAATTGAAAGGAGTAATAATACTCTCTCCATCGCAAAACGGCCAATTATTTTATGCGCAAATCAAAATTCCGTACATTTAATCACGAGTCTAACACCGAGGAACACACGATCTAAAGCTTAGGTGAATGGTATACAATAGGCGGAGGACAATTACATTGAAACCGAACCATATTTTATATTTTTTATTTTATTATATAAAATAGGACTCCGTAGTACGTGGTATAAATTATTGATATAGATGAGAATCATGTCCCGTAAGAAGCATGAGGTGGTTTTGGATTTTCATCTAGACGAACGTACGTACACCTTCAATTAATAATATTTCTTCTTCACTAAGATATGCTAACTCCATTTCACTATTACATTCATTTGAATTCAAGGATTTTTTGAGAAAATAATTTTTTGATTGACTTTCTAAGTACCTTCGTAAACAGTATCATAAAGAAAATTACTCCATAATAATTCATGAATAATTAAGTTCCTTATTTGAACACAAAGTTGATAGAAGAAAGCATAGGCATGAGCAAAATTTGATGGACCGGAATTTTTCCAGAAAAATTTTTAAGCATAAAATTTTCAAATGAACTCTACCTTATAAATAGTACTCCGTATTCTATACTTGAAAGTTGAAAAGAGGGAAAGTCAAAAGCTAGTTTAGTTTAATTTATATGAAAGTGTTCATATTTTATATTGGAGGAAAGTGTATATTATAAAATGAGATTAACTTGGGAGAGTATCACTTTTTAGAATATATAAAATCTGAATACTTCGGGCATATTTTTTTAATTGAACTGAACCTCGAGTTGAACTCAAAGTCGACTCTTCCTTATCAAGTATGACTCTATCTAAGCCCAATTCAACCATCCTTTTCAACATATATATTCAAAGATAATCACCTGCCACATTTTTTCTTTCTTTCTTTCTTTCTTTAGTCAGCCGCCAACTATCCGTATTGCAGTTGGATCAACTTTGAGAAGCTAGCTTGTTGCTGCTGGCTGCATTGCGTGTAAACGCGCGAGCAAATCAAACAATAATGAGGCAAATGAAGACATTATTTGTATATGTTCATGTTGGAGAAGAAGGTAATATGATGCAGCAGCTTCTGGTGAACAGAGACACTGCCAGCCTGGGATATTGGTTGGACTGGAGAGTCTTCTTCTGTGGAACAATGGTCATCTTCTTCATGTTCATAGCATTCTTTCTTTTATGGAAATATGAATGGTCAGCTGTGAAGGATGAATCTGGTGGCCGATATGCTGACGATCAGCGGCAGTGGGAAGAGGGGAAAGCTGCAGCGGCGGCGGCATGGAGGCCTTGTGTGAAAGAAGTAAACCCATTCTGTCTGCTGGCTTTCCGTTTGGTTTCTTTCTGTCTACTCTTAGCGACATTCTCTTGTCATGTGGTAGTTTATGGAGGCAGCTTGTTTTACTATTATACCCAGTAAGTCAATCATCTTGCTCAAATTCAATCATAGTTACTTGGCCTCTCATCTCATCTTTTTGTCCTCATCCCTCACACCATCTGACCATCCCTATACTATTGTACATTCATTCATAATTTGTAGAGAAAATGGCATATCTAGTCCCGAAATTTATGTACATGCCTAATTTAGTTTTATAACTTTTCCGACTTGCATATACAATCATGTAATCAATAAACTTGCCATAAAAGGTGTTTTCCACCCTAATATACAACTCCCAGGCTCGCTCCTAGCACTGAATGATTGAGCTAATGATGACTTTTCAGGTTTATTTGTTTTGCGAGTAAAAATCTTTAAAGTGTGCAAATTATTAGTTAAAGGATTAGATCTGCACGTGAATTACGGGCATAATCAAAAGTTACGAAATTAAAAGAAAAAATCTCTTATAATTTACACCAACCATTCAAGCTAGACCTGGGCAAAAGCAATGACTATTCTAAATATTCTATGTCCTATCATAACTAAAAACACTCCATACACATATGTAGAGTTTAAATGTGAGAAACATATTCCCTAATCAGAAATAACACATAATTAAGTAATGGACCACCATCCCCCCCCCAAACAGAACTCGTAATTAATTACGGAGTATTTTTATTCCTTTATTCGGACTACTAAATAAGTGAAACTTTGGAAATAAATTAAACATAATGAGGAAACTTTATCTATACTTTCCTCTCATTTTAAACATTACTCTCTTGTAACCAACCAAAAAAAGAAAAAACCCCACTAAACACATACTTAAGATGAATTACCTTTCTTAGTTGTGCATGTGTTGATGGTACCCTCCCTTAATTAAAATTTTGCTGGTTTTGCTGATTGTGCACATGCAGGTGGACTTTTACTTTGGTTACCATTTACTTTGGGGTAAGTAAGACTGCATCCTTGCTTTTATTTGCCAACCATAGCAATACATTTAAAATAACAGTTCCAATGGGTGCAATAGTTGAAATGGAAAGTTACTGAAAAATAGGAGTAAAAATGTTTTCGAATTCCAAAATAGGAGTACAACTTATTTGAAGTAGGAGTACAACCTACTTTTTAGAAGTAATTAATACTACATTTTCCCGTAAAAGAACTAGCAGCTAATTTGAATAGCACACACTTTTAATGATTTTTTTTACATGTTGAAATGCTCTTTTTACTTGGGAAAATTTAGGGTATAGTACTTTGTGTCTTTGACATTGTACAGTCATTATTACTAGAGTAAATTAATACTCCGTAGGAATTTATTTACCAAATAAATAAAGATAACTTTATTTATGGAAGTCATGAAAAGGAAAGTAGGAATTAGTTTAAGATACGGGAGGGAGTAATAAATAGATACAATGGTGATTGGTGATTATTTTACGTACTTTGTAGTTTGGGTCAGTGCTTTCGATATATGGATGCTCCCAGTACATAAAAGCAACGATGACAGTTATTAATGATGATGATGATAGATGGAAGGAAGGGTTAGAAGATAAGCTTCTTATTACAGCAAGCGCAGGGGAATACTGTAATGGTGATCATCATCATCATCATGTCATGAAAAGAGAACTAACTGACGATTGCCACAATACAGACATTTACCCAAAGAGAGCTGCACTTCTTTGTGGCTATATTTTTCAAGTTCTTTTCCAGGTATGCATAAATAGAGTTTGTTAAATACATAGGAAGTTTGTGCCACTTTTAGTCCTCTGTCACAATACTTAGGGACTGAAAGTGGCAAAAAGTGCAAAGTGGTTTTCCTGTACAAAGTGTGAACGACTCCACTTTGATCATCTCAAGTGCACTATTGCATTCAGATGATTATCGGCATCAGCTTTTAATCATTTACGATACACTATTGCACACAGGAAGTCCATTTTTTGCAAAAAAGAAAAAAATTGATTTATTTATCCACTTTGATGTATTTTTATAATATTTAGAGTCATTAGATATTAGATATGATGCACACGATTTATTCTTACTTTTCATAGAAGGATGACTTTTTATTTGATCTAAAATATACTCTCTGTGTCCCATAAAACTCTTCTCGATTTGATTGGATCGTAGTTTAAGAAAATAGGAATAAAGTGGAAATTTATGATTGTGGTTGAGTAAAAAAAGGTATATCAATGTTAGCCACACAAAACTTTCCAAAAAGAGAAATGAGAAGAATTTTTTGTGACATCCCAAAAAGGTAAGAGAAGAATTTTATGGGACAAAGGTAATATATAATTATATATAGAGAGAGTTTGGTGCAGTTATTTTCAATTATTTTTAACTGACTTCCTGATTATATTTTTAGCTGAAATTTGTTGAACATAATATAACTTCATGGAGAACGTGCTCATACAATTTCATCAAAAAATTCCACCCGGAACCAACTCAAAATGAGGTGGCCGGACGGTGATCCTGTCTGGACATTCCGGACATCAATATATTGTGTGTTATACATACATACATACATACATACATACATACATACATACATACATACATACATACATACATATGTATGTATGTATGTGTATGTAACTGTATTGTGTGTTATATTTATGTATATGTATGTATAAGTGTATTGTCTTCCTTAAAATCCAATGTTGTATAGTACTGTGCATTAGGAAAAACCGTAGATTTAGTCTTCTAATCTGAATATATATGTCTATTTGCATGATACTAAATCAACAAATCTACTGAATGGCACAGTACCGGCCAAGAGATCTACTGATTTAGTCTGATAGTTGCACTGTTTAACTATAATATGTCTATTTGCATGGGCGCATGCATGCAGATAGGTGGCGGAGCAGTGGTGCTTACAGATATAGTCTACTGGTTCATCATTTTCCCCACTCTCGATGATTCGGACTTGACTCTTGTAAGTATGTGCGTGTCTGTAACGCTGCCTGTGTTAATTTACCACATGCATGTACTGTGCGTACCTCCATTCGATCTTATCCTTGCTAGCTCTCACTTTTTTAGGATTGGATGACGATCATGTTCTTGTTTCATCCGTTTACAGCTGACAGTAGTTGCACATTCACTTAATATGCTGCTTCTTGGCGATGCATCTTTTAATTGCTTGGTAATTATTTAAAGTAGTGTTACGCACTAACCTCTTTTTCTAGCTTTATATTATTATTGTTATTATTGATATTATTATTATTATTATTATTATTATTATTATTATTATATGTAATGCTTCTTCTGATCTTCTCTAATATAAGTTAAAATAAGAATTCTGTGACTGCATATATATAATTTGCTTTTGAATGTCTTCCCAGCCATTCCCATGGTTCCGGATTGCTTACTTTATTTTCTGGACTGGTGCCTATGTTTTATCCCAGTGGATTGTTCATGCTTTACAATCTATTTGGTAATTAATAGCCTCTCTGATCTCATATATATTTTCATTTGTGTGATTTCTGAAACTCCATATGTGTTCCATCTTCACTCTTCTAATATAGCCATTCCATTTACTTCTTATCTTTCAGGTGGCCTTACCCTTTTCTCGACTTATCAACCCCAAATGCTCCCCTCTGGTATGCTGGAATTCGAATTCCTTAACCATATATATTATTATATTATATAATCTGAACAACAAAATATATCCAGATAATAATAACAATAATTTTGACAAGATATAAAATTTAGATTACGGCACGCTAATAAATCCAAATATAATACTACGTATAAGAATTTGCTTAAACAAATGCAAAGTTCAACTTGTTTGAAAGCTCTTTTCTCTTTCCTTGTTTAATCAGTTGCTAAGCACTTAAAATTTAATCAATTTCTCACAATCTTAAGCCAAATGGATAATAAACTGTATGAATTATTTTTCTGTAGATGAATTAAACCATAAGAAGAAAGGAATGAAAATAAAGAGGAAGACGATGAGACCACAAAGTCAAATGAAGCATTTTTTGTAATTTGGTCATGATGTTATACTCCAGGAATGATCGAGGAATATACTATGTCTAGAAGTAGGAATTCACGCTTCAGAAAATGAATTCGAACTATAGAACAAAAGATCAGATGAAGAACAAGAGAGAGTTTATTCAGAAGAGTTAACAATCTGCCCTTTCCTTCTCTATCGGCTAGTATTATATATGAGCTAGCTATTACAAACTAACGCAAGTTAACAACTAACAGAAACTAGCTGTAACTTCCATACGGTTTTAACTGTTGAGCTGCCAAAATCCTTGCCCATGCTTTATCTACCTTGCTGACTCACTGGATATTTATTTTCAAGTATAACAATCCTTTCCCCTTAAGACAAGCTTATCCTCAAGCTTATTATAGAGCAGCTATAAAGTCTTGGTACCTCTTGACAATGTCATCATAAAGTTCTCAGGCAGCATCCTCCTTATCTCCATTCACCCATTGTATCAACTAGTAAACTGCTGCTGTGTTTCCCCTTCTTGCTATCTCTCAGGTAGCTACATTTAGTAGCTCCTGTTCATCTAGACATCTAGTATAAGTAAGTAGCTTGCAATAGGAATCAGTCCATGATGTTTCTTAAGCTGAGAAATATGAAACACAGGGGTATCTTGGAATGTTCAGGGAGCTGCAGTTTATACGCCACTTTGCCCACTCTCTTTTCAATTACAAAAGGTCCTAAGAATTTAGGGGCCAACTTTTGATGCCTCCTGTAAACAACAGAGTGTTGCCTATAGGGTTGCAATTTGATGTAGACCCAATCTCCCTCCAAGAACTCCTAGCTAGACATCAATCTTCAGGAAAGAAACTGAAATTTATTCAAAGAATTTCAAAAAATCAAGAAAGATTGATGTCTTAAAATGACAGGTCTTGGTGAGGCTGCATTAAGTAGAGAACTATAGCTGAGGGTCTAACTAGCGAGAGTTTGGCAACGAGAGATAATCGTTAAGTAGTGCGACTGCTGTGTAGAGGAGAGAAGGTGTGATGAAATTTGGCAGAGAACTTATTTGATGAAATCTGGAAAAGTGAGTTGGAAATGTTAAGAAAAGGGGAAAAGAAGGGAAAGTAGACAAATAACAAAAAAAAATTATCATTAAGTTGAGGATTCTAAAATAAGTATGCATCTCCATCAAAATCACCATTAATGATCTCATTTGCAACTTATCTTTGATTTTTTGTAAAGAAAAACAGCTTGTACTTGACATTTTTAATTACCTCATAAATGTTCTTTACATGAACGACATTTATTTGTGGGTATCCTCGAAAATAATATATTTAGATGAAGACTTCCGCTTATCCACATCAATCATGGCATGATGTATGTGATTGCTACTATCTGGATAGTTTTACGTGTTTGGGGGTGGTAGAGCTTTGGATGCACTTAACCTAGACCACATAAGGTGTAACATGATTTGAACATAAATAGCTTAAGGGCTTTGATATCAGTTAGATTTAGAGTTCTATGTTCTTTCTATCTTAGAAAGGAACCCATATGATATAATGAAGTCAACATTTCTAATATGATATTTTAATCTATCAATCTATTAAATGAGAAACTTGATACTACAAGACTTAAAATATACAAATCTCAAGTTTGATCTGCTCTAATGACTCATCCTGCTGAGGGGACATGTTGAGGGATGTGTCACACATCGAACAAATATAAAAATGAAAGTAACACACAAGACCCCAAGTTACTCCAATTAACAGATACCACGTACATTTTAGTGGCGGTGACATTGCTAAACTTCCAAGAATATTTTTTGGACATGGATTAAAAAAAGAAAGCATGCAACAAAATGAAGTTGCCTTTAGGGGTAATAAAAATGTAAATTATCAACAGTTGAACATCCACATGCATGACTATTTATTTCATATGTGTCTCCCAAATTGTTCCCCCACTTTTTTAAAAAAAATACCAAGGGTTGATTTAGTTCTCATTATTGGGGGGGGGGGGGGGGGGGCAAAAAGGAAATAAATATGACATCAATAAAAAAATATTATCATTTAACCAAGAATATCATAAGTTCTTGCCAATTGTAATTGTAAGTCTAACAACATATGTGAGCTTCTGCTAAAGTTTATTAGTCTGTTTTGTAATTGTTTTCCTGGTTGCAATATGGAATATATTCATAATGGCTGTAGGATATATCTATATAACGGATTAGTTGATTTCAATTTTTTGGGTGGCAGGTATTTGGTGGTAGCACTAATGCATATTCCATGCTATGGTACTGTTGTATTACTAGTTGAACTGAAAAAATGGGTATTGTCCAAATATCTTCCCAGTTATGTTGTGTTTTGAGATTTGAGATGAGATCATAAGTTCATGTTATCATCATCTTATGATTGTTGAACACCCCATCTTATAGATTTATTATGTATTCATTGAATGTAAATTCTGTACAATTTTTTCTGTGTAAGGTAACATGGTAAGTTCTTTTTCTTTCTCATTGTGTGTAAGGAATTTAGGAGTAGCAGAACAAATCAACATTCAAAATCGACAATATGACTGAACTAAATAACTAATCAACAATACAACAAATCAACTAGTCATTTATCAACACCTATGAAATATGAACCAATTAATATGTAGTAAAAGAGTTAGAGACATACCTGAAGGGCGGAAGGGACAGAACCGCAGTCCGCAGCCCGCAGGTCCACAGAAGAATGACCACCGAGAAGGGGCAGAGCGGCAGGCGGCCAAGGGTCGCTGCCTTGGGCCATCGGAGTCGCTGCCCACTGCATATTGCTTTTCAAGCTTTGAGCAGCTTTGCACAAAACCACCATACGAATGATTTGTTCCCTGAACTTCTAAATGATGAATAACATCTCAGTGATTTTTTTTATTGCTTTCTGACTCATGCCTACCACATATGGAATACATATCCTTTTGCCGGTTTGAGTAAGCAGTGATGGGGGGCGTGACAGAGCTTTGCGGTTTTGAGTTCTTCCCGGACACCAAAGCTCGAGTTCTTGGCACTAAATCGTTCATCTCCTCACTAAAATCCAATACTCTCTCTGCCCCAAAATGAGTCACACATTTCCTTTTTGGGCTGATCCAAAATGACAATCTCATTTCCATTTTTGGCAAAAGATATTAGGAGCAATTCCAATTCTACTCTTCCAATCGTTTCTCTTCTCTGGCCCTGTTTTCCCTTCCCGACCCCCTCTTGTGACAATCTCACGGATAGTGTCTTCTTCCTCCCCCCTCCCCCCTTTCCATGCGGCAGATTGACAGTAAGCTAGAGCATAAAAATGGCGATCTCTGTCCACAAGTTTAAAAGATATACTTGGAAATCAAGTAAAAATACGTTAGACTAGTAATATGGTGACACATGTAATATTTGGATACCGAGCAAAATAGGCTAGTCTAATAATATGGTGGCACGCATGAAGCTTGATTGACGGGAGAGACACAGACAGGTGGCTGATTGGTACCACACCTAACTGATTTGATTCCCTTTGTACTAGAACGCACATGCAAGTCACACGTGTAAGTTCTGGATCTTTCTGTGAATAACCGCCTGGTTGCAGTTTTGGACCTATCTTGATGATCTGAGAAATGATTTGGGAACCGACCTCAGCTGGTGCAGGCTCGGCCTTGTAGGTAGTTTTGTACTTGGTGTTTTCAGGAGATTGTTTATCCATAAATGCTGATACCCCCGAGGTATATGGAAATAGACTTCATCATGAGTCACTCACTCTTTGAAGCGAAGTCACACTTGAGGTGATATAGAGTAATTTCTTCAATCTGCGGGGTTGGCACACCCGGCGGGGGCACTTCTTATCATGATTAAACCCTATGGGAAAAAAACCATAACAGAGAAAAAAGAGTACACTCCGCTTTGAGGTAATTTCCAAAAAAAGAAGGTGACGTCCCGCTGCAAAAAATGAGCTTGAGTTTGGGGCTATATTGTAATAGTGGACTTGATTTTTCGACCTAGCAAGTTAGTTGCTACCTCCACGGCCACAACCAAGGGTTTGATGCAAAGTTAAAATTTAAAATAAAGTAGCGAGCTCAGTTTAAGTTATGCATGGTTGATGCTATAATCGAGGTTGCTTGTTGTAATCTGAGTGGAGTTTGAATTCTTCATGATTTTTTGCTCGTGGATATGCTCGAGTTCCCACTTACCAGTCCCATATTCTTTGGACTTAGAAAATTTTCTAAATGCAAGGAGTATAAGTATGAGCCTGAGGGGGACGTGGTAGCGCCTCTGCAAGGTTTGTGGACTTCAGATTTTTAGATTCCGCATTTGAGAAATGCGATTGCGTGTATCAACACTGATGTGTACAATTGGAATTTCCAAATGCTCCTTTCGTAATTTGAATTTATCCTGTTGTTCTATCATAACTCATAAGAGCATCTCCAATGGGATGCTTTTAACAATAACAAAATGGAACTACGTAATGGCCTGTGAAAGTGTTTTAATTTTTTTTTTTGCTTCAACGCTCTCTTTATTCGGATAAGTCATGATGAGTTGTCAAAATTTAATGTCAACACTTTCAAACCCACTTTCGCATTCTAAACAGCCAGTTATACAGCCTAGGTAAGCTTTATCGTGAAATAGAGATACATGTTGGGGTTCAAATTACGGAAAATATGGGTTTCCCATTTATTAAAATTGAATTAAATATATCCACTTCTACAAAACAATTACACAATAGCGTGATGCATTGCGGAGCTTTTTAGTGCTTTACTGGTTTCGATTTTGACATTACTCCTACATGGATAAACATTCCATATAAATATTGTCATGTGTCACATTTTTTTTTAATGTTAAAAGCATCCCGTTGGAGATACTCTAAAGACACGACGGGACAGTACGTCGTCATCATTACCTTTTGGCGTGCCTTTTCCAATTATGATTTTTTTGGGCGGATGGTTCCCAGCCAACCACGTGGCGCATTTTGGCCCATGTGTTGGTGACATAATAAAGGCATAAAGTGTGACTATTTACACTTTACGATTTCTTTCTTCGCTTTGAGCTTTTGAGTTTGTCACTACCCGAGTTCCTCGTGTTTGCAGAGTCTTCAAACTTTCTTTGACCAAGGTCGATTTCAAGTTCCAACCTCTTCGTACCCTTCAAGTAAGCCCTCGGGCTCTCAATGCTTTTATTTTTTATTTTTATCGTTTCCGGAAAACCAAAATTAGGGATTCCGGTACGTAGTTCGATTTGGACCATTTGACTGTGTTTAGCGTCACATTGGCGTTATTGTTTGTACGTCCAGGCTCGAAATCAGGCCAGGAGGCTCATCCAGCCTTTAATTTTGAGTTTTGGGCTCGGATTGGGACCCAATAGTTTGTGAATGGATCCACACACACCACGTAAACCCTCGAATAAGGAGTTCGAAGCAGTTCGTATACCATGGGATCATCCCAAAGTGAGCACCGCGCTCCACTCTCAAAACGACGTAGTTTTACACAAGTTTTTTTAAAAACAAATCGCGTGAACAGTACATGCGTGAACAGTACACGCGTGTACAGTAACTGTTTTTTTCTTTTTGTCCCGGTAGCATGAATGATGTAACTCGCGCGCAAATATATGTAACTCACGTTATTGATTAATGTGACTCAAGTCTATTCGAAATGTAACTTGTCAAATACATAGTATAAGAAATAAAATATTGATTTCAATTAAAAAGAGAGTCTAGTTGCACAAATTCTTTAGACAAACAGTGAATATGTTTTGTTTTTTAATATCATGACCACAAAAAATGATTCAGATACGGACCCATCTTTTTTTCCGGTTAAGAAAGTTGATGGTGACCTAGATCAATGATGTAAGACAACACATGAACTTAGGATTATATTGGAATTACATGTATTTGAGATTAATATTAGAAGAGCATGAAAAGATTGGATTATTCTTGTGAATCTTTCCAAAAATCAAGAGTTGATAATTGAGATTAATAAAAGAAGATCGACTATAGTTGAGATTATTTATAGCTTATGCATAGTTGGCATTTAAATTTGACCTATAATACCAGGTTGCAGCCGATAGAGAATACATATTGAAAATAGTTCCTATAGTTGGGACCACCCATGAATAATCGATAGTTGAGATTATTAGTAGTGGACCGGTAATAGTTGAGATTATTATTTTCAATTTTTTCAACAAATAAAGCAATAAAAGTTATTCACTGGTATTCGCCCCATATGAAGTTGCAAAGTCAATTTTTTTTGTCAAACATATATATGTTATTCACTTAACTATGATACAACAATAACATCCAAACCTTAATCCCAAAAGAATTCGGGGTCGACTAACATGAATCGATCTATGATATTGATGCCAAACAGAGAAGACAGACAAGAAGGGGAAAAAAGTAAGATAAAACGGATAAAATAAAGAGCCCGTTTGGTGAGTCCCTTTTTTGGCTTATGAGGCTTATCCGCCAGCTTTTTCACCAAACACGTAACGTTTGATTTTGGGCGATGAATTTTGCAATAAGCTTGGAGTTACTTTTCGGTCTGTGTTAGCTGAAGTTGCTGTAAAGGTTCATTTTAGCTATTTTCATTTATTTTTTTTATTTAATTTATTAATAACAAATATTTTAAATATAATTTTTCATGAATTAGCAGAATCAGCCAATACAACCACTTCAGTCAGAACTTCATAAATTTCAGCAGAATCAACCAATTTTAGAGTTACCAAACGGGCTCAAAGATAAATAGATATAAGATAACAATAACATAAGAATATAAGAAAGATAAAAGATAGAAAAATAAAAGAGCATAAAAAAGCTAGAATGTAAAAATAACATTAGAATATAAAAAGACAAAGAAGATAAACGATAAAGAAGAAGATAATGAGAAGAGGTAGAAAAGACATCAAAGTGGAGGGCACACAACTGTGCGCCCTCCACTTTGCTCTCATCCAAGTCAAGAAGACGCATATCAGTTCTAATTCTTTTAATCCAAGTCTGTTTGAGTCTTTCCTCCCTCTCTTCTCAGCCTCTATAACTCGGTCTTCTACGCATATGCCCAAACCACCGCAAACGAGACTTTTGCATTTTATCTTCTATGATATAAATTTTTAATTAAATTGTATTTTTGATTTTACAACTTTAAAAATATTTCAACGTAGTTTCTGAATATGTATATATTTTTTTTATTATGATTGTATTAATTATCAATAGTAAGGATTTAAATAGGGATGAACATATCTATTTGGTTTAACCGAACCCAACCAAACTAAACCGGATCATCTGAAAATTAGTTTGAGTTTGATAGTATTTCTTCCAAATCGTATCAAATCGAACCGAAACCGATAAAATCCAAACAAAAAAGAATTAAACTAAAGACATTCAGAAAAAACTTCATATATCATTTATAAATAACAAATCATAAGTGAACTAAATCAATTTGAAAAATAGTCCTCCGTTCCAAATTTAACCAACCCAATAAAACCGAATTGAAA